TCCTGCTTGGGTGTCACCACTGTCCTCATGAAGTTCCCTTTCCACAACTGATTCACACAATTGTACAAAGATTTCTATATAGGCAAAAAGGCCTTGATGCAAAATCTTTGCAGCTTGGGAACTATTTCCATTCTCCCCTTACAGTATAAAATGCCGTGATGATTTTGATTCGGTAGCAAATATAGTAGTAGTAAATGAAGAAGTGAGGTCACAAAAGGATATAACAATTTTATTAATCAATAAGATTTGCTGTTTACTCAGTCTTCACTCCTAGGCAGTCCTGCAAAGGTTTCTTTCAATCAATTAACTATAGGTCTTCTCACAAATCCAGTTGTATTCATCATAACACGATACTGGACTCACAACTCCTGCCCTGATAGCAGCACATTCTTTATCCATTGTTGCTTTTATTGGAAAGCTGTAAACAACAGAACAATTTTTAAAAATCTGAATTTGGTTCAACAAATCTAGTAACGTAAAGCATGTGTCTGACCCAAAATAAAAAATATTAATGTTACAATTCAAGTTAGTTAGTTGATATATTTCTGCAAACTATATTGGAAAGAGGTTATCAAGGATTTTATAACCAGATTAAGAGTTACTTACCCCAAAAGAACAGATAAAGTTAAGAAAAGTAGTAAGTAACTAAGAATTTAAAAGAGATTTCAAATATTCCTTCCCTATAATATTATCATTAGAAAAACTAGGATACTTATATGGTTACCATTAACTTTTGATAGTTTGAGAAGGAACATGGAGATGAAGAAATAAGCTAAAGTATGTATGTTTCACTAGCAAAAATATGATATACATGAAGAAACCAAAACTGGAGATTAACTTTCATAAAGGGCAAAATGGCAAAAAACCTGAATAGAAATCTAATCTTAATAAAGGATCATTTTTGTGGTATCACTTTTTTTGCTTTTTTGTTTTTTACTATTTCTAATTTTATTCTTTGTTCTGGCTTATTAAATGCAAAAAGAAAATAAAGGTCTGATTAAAATTAAATTGGCAATTAATCCTAATGAATTAAAATATTGTATCCAGAATACAGAATTAACTCCTTCAGCCTGTCGGAGCTAGGACAAACTGAATTCTTGAGCTCTTCTTGATTTTTTTTCTAGGAGAAGTTCAGTAAGAAATTATTTGGAGTTAAATGAACTGGTAAACCATTATAGGATCAAAAGGAGAAAAGTTCCTGTAGAACTTCAACTCATCTGAAACCACAGTGATCAACATTTCAATTCATTCTGGGCCAATAATGTTAATTAAATAATAACTGGATTTGGCTGCCTCAAAAGTTCACCATATGATAATGCCCCTTTATAATGAAAATGAATTGTTCTCCTCTACACACACCAAAATAAAGCCAAGAAGGAAGTACACACTCCACAAGTTGTCTCTGGGCAAGTAGATGTTGCTTAGCTTTCAAAGAATTGAATCAGAGTCTTCTCATCACACACTACTTCATGTGTAAGTCAGTGTTCATTTAATAGTCATCCTCCTCAACTTTATGGATGTGTTAAGAGTTCCAGAATTAAACTCCCTTCTAAAACTGATACTGAAAATTGGCTATAGTCAAATCCTAATTTTAAATATAAATGTGTTGGATCCGCTCATTGAAAAGCATAAAATGATACGTTAAAAAATCATAAATCTTAATAGACATATTTTAACAAAAGGCCCATAGAAAGTGAACAACTGCTGCAGCAGTATTTCATTCGTGTTTTGTGTACACAATTCTATGCCAGTGCTCCTTCAGAATTGTGAATGAACAGAGTTCCAAATTCTCAGTAATAGTGTGCAAACTAAATGTAGACGTTTAAAAAATAGTAATGTGCTAGAGAATGTATTAGGGACTGGACTGGAGACATGGAAAGTATTGGATTCAACCAGTAAATATTCTATGAGCTACAGATGGTCCATATTATCATTTAAGAAAGGAAAAAGGTAAATATATAAACCTTTGAGAAAATATATATATAAGTAGCTAGTTGCAGTGTTTTCATGTAGATTTAAAAAGGAAGTTGCACATCTATGAAAGGAAGCAGAACATACAAAATTATTGCATATGGAGAAAATAGAGAAGTAGCAAAAAATGAAACATACAGGTTCATGTTGTGCTCTTTGTGATCAGTCCATTCCCATTTTTTTGTTGATTCTGAATAGGTGAGTCCAATGAAATAATTAGCCATTGCTGTTTTGTTAATAATAAATTCCTGGTGAGAAAAATAAAATAAATATGGAAAATCAAAGGTTCTTATCAGGGGCCATGAAAATCACAAGCAGCAGTTTGGACCCTAAAACATGTTTTGCTTTGGAAAAGAAAAAGAAGACTATATCAATCTCCAAAGCAAACAGCTTTGTTTTGGTATTCAGATTCACTTCAAGGTGATTTTGAAGATGAACCCTTTGATCTGGGAAGCTAAAATATTGCTGATGTTACTTATGCTAATCAATTTGCAAACTTTTCTCCTTTCAGAGTTCACTGCAAAATAGAAGAATGCCTGGGTCCCTTCCAAATCATAAGGACATTTTAAAAGTAATTTAAACATACCAACTATATTTACAGATGCTAAGAAGTTCTTGCTTAGCACAGAAAGTTATAATCCATAGTTGTTTCTCTTGGATCTAAAATAGTATGTTCATACTTCATCCTCCTCTATTTTAAAGTGCATCTTGAGTGGTTAACATCGTGTGACATTCACTCTCCAATTCAACAGTTCCCATCAAACATAAAACAGTACCCTTCAAAACCAGAGTTTCCTTACAAGTAAAAACTATCTTTACTGGAGAACCCAATGACATATATGCATTCCTCGGGATACACTTGCTCTCATTCCTCTCACCCATAGCCCTCACTGCAAAGTTTATATTTCTTTCAAGCACTTGATAACTCTTGATTGTTTTGACTCATGGTTAATCTATGAGGTTAACCATTACATGGTTAATGTAAGGCAGGTCTGCTTCGCACATTAACCTGGACATCTCTGTATTTCATATTCCATCATACAATCCAACTATGATAAATGATCTTCCTCTGGAATTATACCTGTTTTGTCAGAGGATTGTGATTGCCTCACTCATTCAAGGGATGGTCTAAAGATCCTGACATGATTCTTTTCCCAGGTTAAAGGGATATAAGAGCATAAACCTTTCAAGAATGAAGTTGATTTCCTCCCAGGTGACCATTAACTTACCAGTTCTTTTGTGTCATTGATGATCACAAGCTTTGATTTCCATTCTTCGCAATCAAATTGGCTGATCAGCCATGTAGTTTTCTCTTCAGAAAATAAGTAATCATGCTCTCTGAATCGTTCCCACCTTGGTTGCTTCAGAGGAATTCTGGCTATAGCAAAGGATGCAAGGAATAAATGATTTTGAAAGTGATAATAATAGTTGCAGCTTCAGGGGTTCCAGAAAGATCAAGCATATAAAATCTAAGTAGGGCAATCTTTGTCCCATCCAAAATTTATCATTGGAATTTGATTGTTTTCTGGTATCAACACAAGCATTTTTGTCTTATTTACAAGGTATATTACTATTTCTTGAGAAGGTCTTTTTTATAGTGACTGTGAGTCTGTTTTTCTGTTGCACATTGAAGGAAGATGCTGCTCTAATTGCTGAATTTCCAGTCTGGCTCTCCATTATTCAGTAGCTTCCCTGTTACTTCTGCTTCTTGATTTGATTCTTCCTTTCCTCCAGCATGACATTCAGTGAATGCAAAAAGAGACACGAACTGTACCCATTGGCCTTCCTTCCAATTAAATATGTATCCTGAAGAGTAAGAGGTTGTTTTAACTTCAGGTAGAGCTAATGCAACCAGAGCTTAGGTGCCAAAATCTACATGATCACAAGATAACAGAAAAATGTTTTCTGCAACATTTTGCTTGTTAATTGGTAGCCATTCAGATTTTTGTAACACAAGAGGCTTCTTCAGATCCCCACTGAAATATCTGGAACCCAGAACAGTCAAAGTGTTCAGGTTTAGTTTCTACTGAAATGTCACTAACCCAAAACAGGTCAATAGAATTTCCAGAATTCAATGTTTTTGTGCAGGTTTTATCACATTGTGGCTTTAGTGCAGTTGGCTTAGTCTGAATTCAGACACCTGCCTTTTAGGACATAATCTCAGGGCTAAAGTCACAATTAAAAATATTTAACAGAGCCACAGTTGTACTGTGGCTCTGTTAAATATTTAGTTACAGTTACAGTTTTTACAGTTTTTACAGTTACAGTTTACTGTAACTAAAACAGCATTTCCTTTTCTTTAGTTTACTGTAATATTGTAAGGAACACTACAAAACCTTGACTATGCATTAATGAATATCAACAATGTATTCATTTTCAGAACAATTGGCTATTCACTGTTTGCCTCATTAGAGGATCATATTCCTTGCAGGAAATTCCATGGGAATCAAACTTACAGATAATTTTATAAATCTTTTAAGTGATGATTTTGTATACTTAAAAACAAAACGTCATGACTTATGTTGTTTAAAGATCTGCTCAAGGTCTGTTCTCGTGTAGGGTGTAAGTATTACAGACATAGGAATTTTTGCATAAAGAGATGGGAACTGCACAATCCTGATCTCAGAGCTTCAAAACTTTGCTGCCTCAGGTGTTTTAGCAGGTTCTCTCTCTCTCTCTTTCTCTCTCTCTCTCTCTCTCTCTCTCTCTCTCTCTCTCAAAGCAACTGGACTTTCTTGGGGTTTTTTTCCCTTGAAAATGTTTAGCTTCTCATACAAGAAGGTTTTTCAGTTCTCAAGAAGTGAAGAAGCTTCTTGGATGAGAAGCAAAATGTTTTCAAGAAAAAAAAACCCGAAGAAATTCCAGTTGCCTTTTGAAAAGCAACATTGGGACAATCGTTACCTGGATGATGGAGAAACTCCACAGACATATCTGAGTCAGTATGAAAAACACCACTGGAAAACGTTAAGTAGTAATAAAATGTAGCTAATATTAAGTCTCGTGTTTTTATTGCCCAGAGGGAACATGAGCTATTTTCCTCTATTCAAAGTTTCACTAGTGGGGTTACCACTTTCCCCATTCCCTTTCCAATCATCCCCAACTGATTATCAGGTATGGACAGAAAAATAATCATTTCACTTTCTACCTGTAGTAGGACGCAAGGGAGAGAGGGAAGGAATCTGCTCAGGAAAAGGGAGCCACACTGGAAACAAAAAAATAGCATCCATCATTTACATCCTAAATGTAAATTGAATTCACATCATCAATACTCAGTGGTACCCAAAATTTAAAAAAGGAATTCTAAGTCATATATGCATCCTTCCTCAGCAAGACTATTCTTTTGACAAAACTAGTCTTCTTAATTTATTTTGTATTATCATTATGATACCAAGAAAAAAGAAGCAAAAAAGGAGGGAGGCGAAACAATGTAAGCAATATAATATAGGCAGATGACTACCAGATCTCAACTAACTTGACAAATCTAAAATATCATAACGCTAATACACTGTAAAACACCATTAACAACTTAGAGTATTCTAAGACATTTCATAGTTGAACATACAGTATTCTGTTGAACGGTAAAATTATTTGGTTGGTACAATTGAAATCAGTAAGAGGAAACAGAAAACCTGTATATGTTACATTAAAATAATGTACAGTAAATAACATGTACGTCAGAGATGGTATTCAGTAGGTTCTGACCAGTTCTGGAGAACTGGTAGTGGAAATTTTGAGTAGTTCGGAGAACCGGCAAATACCACTTCTAACTGGAGATTTTACAGTATCTTTCCCCTGCCACTCCCACCAAGCCACACCCACAGAACCGGTAGTAAAAAAAAATGAATCCCATCACTGATGTAGGTTATATATTCAATTACACAAACTGGAACCCACATTTGTAATGTGGTATGATTGCATGTATAGAATTGTAATCCAGAAATGGTTTTCAAGTAGATTGACGTGTATATCAAATCTACAGTATTTTTTAGTTATGAATTTGCAATGAATTAATTTCCAGTATTGTTGAGGTTTGCAACACTACCACCTCATATGTATCCAAATTGTTTGTTGCATTTCTAGCATTTTGAGGGTTATTTTACTGAAATTTCCATGACATCAGTAGAAATCACTTACTGATTTTCTAATTCCTAGGCAAAAGCTTTTCCCAGGAGGCAACCAACCGGAATTCTGTGCCAGAATTGGGTTTTGTGGCTGTCTATTTGGTGTTGTCACTGGGCACTGTAACTCGTTCTTCCTGGCTTTATAAGAACCGATTATTCCCCTCTAGAGGCTGTAGATGCAGTTCATGAACAATAAAGCAGAAGACTATCTATGACACGCAATGAGTTGCACTTTATATTTTAGGCCCATTCCCTGTGATCATGGAGTCACAGCTGAGGTTTTTAATACAGCCCCATGCTCTCTATAAAGAGCTCAAGGCCATATTCCCTTCACCTATGTAAAGTCACATCTATCATCTTAGCATGAAGCAGGATCTACACATTCCTCAGTGTGCATGACAGGAAGAGATGAGACTTTTCATAACAGACATCTCTCATTTCTCAGCCAATTCCCTTAGTGCATAGTGAGGCAAAGTAATAATAAGCACACACTGTACCTCAATTGGATCAACACTTCAGTGTTGGGGTGGACGTAAAGGTCAGGACCTGCTGCTTGTAGAATTTTGACACTTCCTCCATGCATTAAGTAATACAAGGAGGGCACCATCCTTCTGCTGGTTGAAGATGATGTGTAAGAGCATCTGGAACTCAGGGGCAATTAAATGGAAAGAGTTGCTGGAATTCATGCTGTATGGCTGGTCATCTAAAGCAGAGCTGTCAAACTCATGCCCCATGGGTTGCATGCATCACGTGCTGGACATGCCCACACCTGATTTAGTGAGGGGGGAAAGTCCAGACATGTCACATGACACTGCCGTGACAATGCGAGTTTGACACTCCTGATCTAAAGCCATCAGCTGAAGAACAGCACATGTCAAACATCTTTTGAACCAACTTACTACTCATCGAATCACAACTGGTTCCACTACTGAATAAGCAGCTGAGAAGCACTTTGGTTATCAATACAGGTTGGCTGGTGCTGCAAAATGTTGGAGACACCTGGATGAGGTTTACTTAATTCTACTTAATCCCCTTCCGTTCAATGGGGAAAATTCTTTTATGTTGAAAACTCCTCTTCTTTGATGGAGAAAAGGGAGTTCCAACTTCAAGAAATTTCCCCACTGAATGCCACATAATACGTTTTTTTCTCAACAGAAATCAAAGTACATTTATCCCCCATCCAGTTATTTTCAAGTCTCAGAAATCTCTGGATTTTCATGTAGAGTTACCTGAAGAATTTTCGGTAGAGGTAGAAGTGATGTTCCCCTTGGGAAAGATCTGTGGAACTAAAAAGAAGAATATTTTTAAATAACAGCTGATAAAAAAATTTTCAATACTTCTGCTAAAATAAAGTAGGGAGTAAAAACAATTGTTTTGTCATTGTTATTCATTGTCAGTTGTGGGAGCTGAATCAGGTTCAAAGGAAAGATAAAAGTCAAGCCCTTAGTTTAAATCTCAACTTTTCCCTAGGGAAAATTCTGTCTCTCCATATCAGTCTATCTATTAATCTGCCTCTTGTTTTCAATGGTATAATAAAGTACACTATAAAAAAGCACTATGTGGAATGACAACCACATATAAAATACTTCTTTGAAAAACCAAAAACAATAACAGCTGCAAAACAATAAGGGTTATTTATATCTTTACATATTGAGGCATAGTAAAACATGGACACTCAAAACATTTCAATAATAATAATTTAATTAACCTTATATGCTACCCAACTCTCATGACAATCAAAGATACTATAATAAAATCAATAAGCATTAAAAAAAGTTAAAAGAAGATATAATGTATGTACTGTACATTATGGCTTTACATATGTGTGTGTATGTGTGTTTGTATGAATGTTTACACACACACACACACTGTAATATATATCCATATTTCAAAACCCCAAAGCCCTTACAGTATATATACAAGACAGGAAGAATTGAGAAAAGAGACAATGACATGATTATCAAAAACTAAATGAAAACAACCACTTAAAATTTGCCCAATACTCACAAAAAACAAAGAATAGAGATGTCCCTGTGAGCTTGACTAGTAAAAGGATGATTCCAGGAGCTACTTGCTGCCAATTCATTCTGGTTAATCTGAAAGAATGCAATAGTAATTAAATGACACCCCATGTTTTTGCAGGAAAATTTTCTAGTTAGAATTTATCGATCAATCGACATGATAAATTGAATGACAAATAAATAGATGTATTCCCCCCACCCCCATTTTTGTATGTTGTTTTAGAATGGATGGTTTTATTGCTGGCTGACTGCTTTATTAAAGATTTATTTTATTCTTTTTGCATACCTCTCAGAGTGTCATTGTGAGATCATGCAAGAAAAAGAGAGATTAATTTATACTTCTTTTGAAATAGGCTTTGCCAATGTTGAAGTTTCCACATATGTAAAATCCAACACATCCAGACAATCCTAGGTTCAGAGACTCAATTCATGTATAAAAGTGGATTAGAGACCACAGTATTAAAGAAGCAGCATCTCTTTTACAATGTATGGACAATCTATCTATGTTATTAAAAAAATCCAGAATTGCCGAGCTAGTTAATCACGTCATGTTGCTTTTCTGATTTGGGATTAATGCTTTACTGCTGTCTGTGTGGCAAATTCTAGTTAAAATAGATACTGATTTAATATTAATTATTAATAATTTATATAGACCCAGAAATTTTGAATGATGGGGTTTGACCATCTTCTTTCCTGCTTAGCCAGAAAAGAAGTATAAAGACAGATAGAAGGAAGCTTCTACTACCAAGTTCTTCTCAGGGAAAGATATAATCTACTGTAGTTTATTTTTATTTTAAAATTACTATAAAATGAAAAGATATCCTTGATCAAACTCAGCTCTTTGAGGAAGTCTGCATCTATGTAGTTTTCTCGGCAACAGAATGGAAATGTTGTGACATTTGTCTCTTTCTCGTTATGACACCGCCTTCCTGATCCAGGATTCCCCAATAATCACCAATCTTATGCAATACCTTTATTAGAAGAGCCTATCCGATGCCCCCCAAAAAGAACAGAAAATGTTTACAGGGCTAGCAAATTGGCCACTTTTGTGTGGCATTTCTAATTCCCAACCAATTTACTTCCCCATACTAGTCTAGGCTAGCCATGAACAAGTAAGAGTGGATTTTATGTGGAAAGACTCATTCACTTCTGAGACTCAAAACAAATTCCTCAGGCTCAAATCTTTCAGCAGTGTGTATGTAATTTTATTATTTATTACATCTATATTTTGGACGAGAGTCCTAATTTTTTTTAAAAAAGTAGTTCTTTGTTTCTAATATCTACTCCAAGGCTTGAGCTAAAGTGAAAGGATCAAGAATTTCAGAGTTGAAATTCAATCCCCCCCCTCAAAAAAACCAAACCAAACCAGACCTCTGAAACAAATTTAACCCTTATCTTGAAGCATTTGCAGATCATGTAACATTATTGGGTTTCTAAATTAGCAGCCTGTTATTTGATGGAGTGTATAAAAACACCTGAATTTTAGAAAAGAAAAAAAACAGAAGAAATGGAAATTTTACTTATCAGGACGATTCTGTAGAGTTGAGAAAGTGCTTCAGCAGATGGTAAGTGACTGTCTGAACATTTTTCATCCCCTTTAGATTTATGCACACTCACTCTTGCTAAGCAACTGTTAAGCCCTAAGAAATTATGCCACTTCTCCCTTTGTGTCAAGATGTTGGTGATAGACATGCACGCCACTGTCTCAATTATGAGATACTTCCTTTTTCCTAAGCCTTCCTCCCGAGCACTAGTTTGTTAGCAAGACTTAGATTTATGTACAGTCTGGTACAAAATGCTGGCTTGGATATTTTTGGACTAAAGCTATGAAAACACTTTTAGACAGTTTATTAGACATTCTCCAACCGACACCCCCAAATTTGTTGTCAGACCGCACAACTTTAGCCTTAGAGCACTAGGTTGTAGAAGTCCTGAGCATAGAGATCCAGAAACCACAATATATTTTAGGTTGAGACCTGCACTAATCCTTTGAATAGCATTCCAGTGGCTATGCACGAAAACTAAAACTAAAAATAGATTTGGGATTACATTACATTTTATTCATTAAATTGAAATGAAATCAGAATTAGAGTTCATACAATTTCCATGTAGTCATAAATTACAATTTATCAGCAATTGTTGGATAAGATCTGGAGGACACACCTTAGACTTTTGGGGGTATCATGTAGCTCCTAAGGCTGGATTCATTGCCCTTGACTAATTCTATAATCTTGGAAGTAACTGTTAGTGAACTCAGTGCAGCTTACTTTCTGGGTAAAAATGTCCTATAAGAAAAACTAATTCATACAAATCAGGAATGGCAAATCTGAGGAGAGTGTTATTGTGGCTTCTGGGTGTTATAGGACATCTGAAAAGCTGTAATTTTTTTTAAAAAATCCAGTTTTAGTCCAGAGTTGGATAATTTAAATATCTCCCTGTTGCCCTTTTACAGTTTCCTCATCTCCCACTACCTGAGCAAGACATAATCTATTTTCACCACCAGCCAGCCACAATCCTGAAATCAACCCATATATATGTGTTGTGATTGGAAGGACCAATCCTGTTAGGAACTTTGAATCTGATGACTGTTAGATCATGGATTGACGTCAGAACCAGGAAACGTTAATCTGATGGGCAAGCCAGTTAATTAGCACGTTACTGCAAAGAGCTCTGTCTGTTTGAATTTCAAAGGGGAGTCCTAACAGTTTTGCCTGCAGTTTTGAATGAGGACGTTACTGCAAAGAGCTCTGTCTGTTTGAATTTCGAAGAGGAGTCCTAACAGTTTTGCCTGCAGTTTTGAATGAGGACGTTACTGCAAAGAGCTCTGTCTGTTTGAATTTCGAAGAGGAGTCCTAACAGTTCCTGTCAGCAGTGATAATAAATATTTTGAATGAGGACACATTTGATTTGCAGGACCGGCCTGAACCTTCAACCTCCTCTGCTTCTCAATCAGGTTATCAGCCGGGAACGGCTGACAATGAGGAACTTATGGAGACTTCAGGTGAAGGTAATAATTTAGATGATTGCTGGGTGGATGTCAGAAGCAGGCGTCTCCTTACGAGAAGAAACCAACGGGAGCACAGGAGGAGGGCAGATCAGTAATTAGACTAATTAGCTGCTGCTCTATAAAGGGAGAGAGATGACTTTGCACTTTGTCCGGAACAAAGTGTTTGTTTGCAAGGAGAACCGAAGATTTTGGCTTGGAGGATTTAAACCTGAAATATCTTGTTGGGACTTGGATTTATTTCGTTGGAACTATTAACTTGGACTATCTTGTGGAGGCTATCTACAGCTGTTATCAGTGAAGATTCCTGTTTGCTGCCTTTATTTGCGAGGACTGCTGCTTTCAGCCTTATCTGTTTATTTTGGAAGGTGGGACATAACATATATGTATACCATGTTTCTCATATAATAAGGCTGGGTCTTTTTTTTTTTTTGAGCCCCCCCAAAACAGCTAGGACATCTTTTCGGGGGTGAATTAATTTCTTTCTTCCCCCCCTCCCACGCACCCTCGCCTAGGGTGCCCCGCAGGTGGCTATGCCTCGCCACCAGCCACTCCGAACGGCCAATCATGGTGAAGCACGGAGGGCTCCCTTACCCCCACCAAGCGCTGAAGACCCAGGTCAGTGGGTGGGTGGGGATGTCTGTCAGCAGTGTTTCAGCCACTTCTCAGGCCTCCGTAGCTTCCACGGTTCCCACCGGTGCTGGCGCCTCTCTCGCCAGCACCGTCTCCAACAACAGTGTCTGAGTCGCTCCCGTTTTTCCCCCGTCCCCGTAACAACAGGAAAAAGAAACATTTTGAGGTACCTGAGAGCGCTGTGCACTGCATTTTGGTTTAATCCTGAGCAACTGGGTGGGTGTGAAAAGAGCCAAACGAGCGTCTCTGGTGCTCCAGCCTCAGGCTCTGCAAGTTTGCAAAAGTCCCGGTGCACGGCCCGTTCCTGCATTCCAAGAGCCCAGGCCGAGCTGCAGCTGTCCCTCCCTCACCAGCGCCATCTCCAATAACAGCGGCAGCAGCAGCGGGAACCGTGGAAGTTACGGAGGCTGAAATGCTTCCATGGTTCCCGCCACTGCTGCCGCTGTTGTTGATGTATCATTTGGTAGATATAATAAAAAATACATTTTTATATATTCGTTATGTTCTAAAAACATAATGAATCTACATATTTCATTACCATGTTTTATTATCTAACCATTGATAGAATAGATCCCAAATTTTATAAAATTGTTTATCAACTTGTTCTCTGATTTCAAATGTCAATCTACTCTTTTCAGCACATTCCAATATTTTCTCAATAATTTCCTCCTGTGATGGTACTTTCTCATTTTTCCAGTTTTTGGCAAATACAATCCTAGCCACTGTTAACACATTTACAATCAGGTATTTTAATTCTTTACTATATATTTCAGGTAAAATTCCCAATAAAAATATCTCTGATTTCAAGTCTATATGCTTTTTTGTCATTTTTTTCCAGCCATGTGTGGATTTTAGTCCAATATTTTTTGGCATCTACACAAGTCCACCACATATGAGCCATGTAATTGATGACATTTCCAACATTTTTCAGATTTATTCTTGAACATTCTTGCTATTCTTGTTGGGGAAAAATGCCACCTGTAAAACATCTTATACAAATTTTCTTTATATGCTGTTGACAACTGTCATTTTATAATTTTGAGACCACAATTTTTGCCATTTCTCTAGATCAATCCCATATCCAAAATTCTTCCCCCAAGTAACCATTATTTCTTTAACTTGTTCTTCTTCTAGTTTTATTTCTAATGGATATCCATACAATTTTTTAATCACCTTTTCATCAAAATCTTATCTAAATCAGTCAATTTATCATAGAAACCGTCTGTTTTAGCATCTTTATCATACCTTGAATGTATTTGCGCATATGAAAACCAATTCATCTTTATACCTTGTTCTTCTAATTTTTGCATAGATTTAAGTTCACCCTTTTCATTCAATATTTCACCATATCTAACTGTTTGTTCCTTTTTGTATGTTATAGGATAAAAAAAAGCTTCAACAGTCAATAGCCACACTGGAATTTTCAAATAACGTTGCCATTTAGTCTTACCACAAAGTAAGTTTAAGTTTAGTTTAACCACAGAGACTCCTGTATATAATGTCTTCTAAAATACCCCTGTGTTTTAGTTCCTTTATACCATAAAAAGCATGCCACCCCAACAACAGATCATATCCTTCGAATGTCAACAATCTAGCATTTCTTAATGTTATCCATTCCTTAACCCACATCAAATTTGTAGCTTGGTAGTACAACTCCCAATTAGGCAAACTAAATCCTCCTCTTACTCTTATTCTAGCAACTTGCAAAAGTTTTAACTTTATTCTCGCTTTCTTACCTTGCCATATATATTTCAACACAATTTTATTTAAATCTTCAAAATAATCTTAATTAAATAAGCCTAATTGGAATTGTTTGAAACAAATATAAAATTCTGGGTAATATATTC